TTCCATTTTATACCATCCGTGTGCACATAAATCTGCTTCCACATTGGGGCTTTATGTATCAGTCATGCTTATAAAGACCGTTTTCACATACTGACAAAGAAATTTGACTTACATGAGTAAAATAAGAACAAACTAATTAACAGATTATTTCTAGCATATACATATTTTCTAAATGTTTAGGAGAAAAGGAACAAATGTGTTTAATTCATCTATTTTGGGTACATATCTTATTAGTTCATTTCTTCTTTAGTCTCATTTTCTTCGTATATGTGGTTTTCCTCCATTGAAGTTATTTTATTCATATGAAAACTATATTTGCAAATGATAAACATCGATAAACTATATTATTTAAAAGTGTTTTATTAACAAATGTTTAAGTTGCTGTTATTTCATAACACTGTGTTAACTACTGTGGGAGAAATAAGAAAACATAAAACAATTTCTGCCCACTAAGGAGCACAGAATCTAGTAGGAGTAAGAGGACATGTGTGACCAGGTGGGATAGAGATGAGAGGATTAAGATGTAAGTATAGTTATTTTTCTCCAGGTTCCAGGTATAAACTAATATTATGATTAGGGACCCTTTTAAATATTGTATCATCGGCATGGCTGTATGTCAGAGAGACCAGCATAAGAGCAGGCCATGTATTTGTGGGGGAGGGGGTGGCTTCAAATCCTGTACCTGGAGAATTTAAAACAATCTTTACAGTGTTTTAAAATCAATTACAAGTATAGGAACAAAGAGTAATTTATGTTTCTATTTGTTGCATATGTAATCATCTCTTTAGAGTTCCAGACAATTGAGTGTCCAAATTATGTTTTTCTAAAAAAAAATTTTGCTTGTGAGTTCCAACAGTCATAGTAACTCTCTTATCCCTCTCTTGTGCTGAGTGCAGTCGGAGGAAGAGGAATTGGAGTTGGTGAGTGTGGGTTTGTGCTTGAAGAGAGTTGATAGATTTAGAAAGTGCTAATTCTCTAAAATGTTTTTATCTAATCCATGTTCCCTTTGTTACACAGATTTTTTTTTAAAATTAATCACCTCTGAATGAATAACTAAAGCAATCTACTGGTACTACAGAATCTAGTTTTTCTGTTTATGATTGTGTGTGTTGACCCATTTTATTTGTTGGAGGGAACATTGGAATAGAGCCTTTAAAAACAAGAGCTGTCCATGAGCACAGGACACTTGTTAAAGCTTTTTTAAAGAAAAGATACAATATACCTTATATAGTTCCCCAACTTATTAAAATATTTTTAGAAAATGACTTCACCCTCAAAGTTCCTCAGATTGTAGCACATAGTCTTGTGTTATTTTCTTTCTTTCAAAAAGATTACATCATTTTTGGTGAGGTCACCTTTTTCAGAGTTGGAATTGTTTCAGCCTGCATCAGAAGATCTGAACCACAAGGGGATTCCCTGTTTACTAAGGAATGTCTATAGTTGAAAATACACAAACTTAACTTTTTTCTATGAGAATATATTCTGTTCTTAAAAGCAACTATTACCTTCCCCCACCCCACCCCACCCCTCAAAAAAAATAAGTGGTTTATATTGGCTTTGCCTTTAGAAAATAAATTTGATGAAAATAACTTGCAGTTGATCTGTTTCTTCTTTGGGAACTAAAACCCACACCTCACAGAAGTAATCATATGAATTCAGAATCAGCTGCTACTTTTATGTCTTTAATTTTAAAGAAATTAAAACTTGAAATTGTTCTGTCTTTAGCTTAGACCAGGTTCAGATTGCATGAAAACGTGGGGGAAAGGCATCTGTTGGTTTTACTTACACTGGATTATTACATGTTTATGCATGCCGGTGTGCTTTGCACAGTTTGTTTTCTTTCAAATAAGGTTGTCTGTGCTCTGTCCTTAAAATAAGAGATCGTTCCTTATTTAGCTTCATGATTGCTCTCAATTTTGGCTGTGGTTTTGTTTTAACAGAAATAATACTAGTCAGCTGTGAATGTGGTATTGGATTATAATATGTGCAGATTTGGAATATCTTTTGGTGAAATACTTAATGATACAGTAATGGTTAGCAAATGGAAGTTTATAATTCAAGCTAAAATAATTCATCCTAGGTTAGACCTCACTATTTTATGCTTAGGAGGTGCAGTGGTTAAAGCGATTGACTGCTAACAGAAAGATTGGTGGTTCGAAACCACCAGCAGCTCCTTGGAAGAAAGATGTGGCAATCTCCTTCTGTAGTAGAGATTTACAGCCTTGGAAACACTGTGGGGTCGCTCTCAGTCGGAATCAACTCTATGGCAGTGGTTTATTTATGTTTAAATTGACAGGAATGCTTCTCTGTGAATTATCTGGCAACGTGTTGCCCTCTAGTGGTTCTGAAAGTCACTTGCTCTTGTAGAACTCTGCCGTTGACATTAGAAGCTTTGATGGGTACAACCAATGTATTGGAGTCTCACCGTTACCCTCTCTTTGAGGTCATGCCAGGAGATTGCCATCGAGATGAAGCCATGGTGTGGATGTTCTTTCACCTGGTATTTGATGTTTGAAGTACCATTAACCAAATATGAAAGGACAAATTAAATCCAATAAATGCCTATCTGAAAAAATCGTTACAATTAGTAACTCAGTGCTGAGACTGAAATGTGTTCTCAGTTATCATATGCTGACTTTCCACATTCCTTAAAGTACCCTCAATTATAAAATCTCAAAGATAAATTTATAAGTCTTTGAAGACTATAAAATCTAGAAATCATAAAAATAAATATTTATAACTAAGAAACATACATGACTTAAAATTATAAACAGCCATTCATATTCTTTAAAATTTCATCTAAGAGAATTCAAACTGTAAAACTTAAATAAATTAAAAATGCAGAGCTTTATATGTCAGAACCAATATATAACCAGAAACACAATCTGTTAGAAAGTTGTTCAGATTGGTTTGAGCCCTAAAATATAATCATGGATGACTCAGATCCAGAACAAGGAAGGAGAGTGCCCTGGAGCCTGCCTTAAAGACTCTTCTGGAGAAAACTAAGCTGCAGGTTCCTTAGCGTCCTTGCAATTCTAGAACAATTTTCCTTCTTGACAACTCCAGTGGACTGGCTATGAATGAGAAAGGATAAATTTATTCTTTTTTTTCTTACCAGTTTTGTAGAGCAAAATTTTGGAGCGGGGGGGGGGGGGTTCCTGGGACAGTAATTTTAAGGATACTGTCTTACATTTTTGGAGCCCTGGTGGCACAGTGGTTAAGTGCTACGCCTGCTAACCACAAGGTCAGCAGTTCGAATCCAGCAGCTGCTCCTTGGAAATCCTATGGGGCAGTTCTACTCTGTCCTATAGGGTTGCCATGACTCGGAATTGACTTGACGGCATCTGGTATATCTTACATTTGTTTAGTACTTCAGTTAACAAAGCACTTCCAAACGTATCACATCATTTGATTCTCACGGTAGCACTGTGAGGCAGGCAGGACACTGTACAAACGAAGATGATAGGGAATGATAGGAAGAGGTGAGTGAATCTTGGACAGAAACTCAGGCAGTGTCTCCACATACTACACTGTCTAACATCATCTAACTTAAACTGAAGAGAAAATACAAACTAAAAAGAAAGAAACAGATCTGGATCGTCCTTCAAGTGATCTCTTTTTCACATCGCTAGATCTAGCCAGAGGCTTTCATCTGACATTCCCTCCAAAAGTGGTGATAAATAAGAACTAGTTCTTTATAAGAAATCTCAAGGGTACTGAATTATACTTTTATTGATACAGCTTATGCCCCCAAAATCATTTATCAGACTATAACTTCTTCATTTAGGAAAAAATAAAAATAAAAAAAATAGTGGACACTTGTGCACTAACCACATGGAATCTGTTCGGTTCCTCTGAGCCTCAGTTTTGAAAAATGTTACCAGTGACACAGTGAGAAACTGGTTCTCTCATACCCTTACTCATAGAGGACGATGACTGTCTTAAACTGAGTTGACTGTTCAATAAAGTTGGGTTTTTTTCATTCATTCCCATTGTAGATAGGATACCGTGTAGATCCAACCAATCAGCAAGCATTTATTATTGCTCCATTCACAACTCTGTACTCAAAAGTAATTTATTTAAAAGCTGTCTACTCAATACCTTTACTTTCAAAAGAATTGGGAGTGTAGAGGGAGACATAGCTGACGTTGCTGTCAAAAAATAGGTCGGGATAAGAGGGAAGGAGTCCAAGAAATAAGAATACAAGATGCACTTCAATAAGCCAGGACTTAAAAAACCATGATAACATGTAAGTGTTGCAAATAAACATAGTTTGATTCCTATACAAGCAGTCTCCAGGTTACAAATGAGGATCTGTTCCTAACTGTGTCTTTTAAGTTGAATTTGTAGGTAAGTCAGAACAGGTACATACACTTCTTATTTATACTTACTTTGGTACAAGAAAAGGCTCTGGGCTTTTCAGTGATTTAAAAAGTGCATGTGCGGCAAGTGAAGGTGATTGTGATGAAGAATTTGTTGCCAGTATGAGTTGGTTCAGTCATTTCAAAGTTAGGGCAAATGTACATCACATTAAAGGGCAAGTACAGTAAGCCGGGGACTTACTGTACTCATGGACTTATTATCCCAAATGTACAAACGATCTTCGCTATCATCAGGTATTTAGAACCTACACACATTTTATTGAGGGTGGCCTGGCAGTGTTTGTAATGGCATCAGATCTCATTTAGGCTCACATATAAATGTGTTATCACCCATAATGTATGTTTCTGTTGTAAGGCCATGTCTATGACATTAATAAACCCTCTATGAAAAAAGAAAATGAATAATTAATATAAAAATATGTCCCATTTAGTGTTCTTATTTAATTAGTATATTTTAGTATATAATAAGATTTTCACATCATCACTTTTTCGGGAAATACAACATTCACGTTATAAAACTGTGAAAAATGTCACTTTTAAATTGAATGTTATTTTTGAAGTATTAAGTCTAAACATAAAAATACTCACATAATAAACACTTTTTCTAATCTCTCACAGAATACACAGAGGATAAGCAGTTCTCAAGCCACTCAACCTCTTGCTACTCCAGTGGTGTCTGTGACAACCCCAAGCTTGCCTCCACAGGGACTTGTGTACTCAGCAATGCCTACTGCCTACAACACTGGTGAGCCTGCTCTGTTGCCTTTCATGTGTTTTATTTCTCTCCCGTGATCAGTGTGCCCTCTTGTGATTTTTGAAAAGTGTATTTATTTAAATAAATTACCAGTTTTTTTCAGATTCACATTTGAGTATATTAAAAAAACATATGCTAGACTTGAAAAAATTGCTAGTATTAATAGTACAATGAATTAAATAAGTTATTTCTATTCTGAGCTTCAAACCAGTTTATTCGGGTTCAAACCCCTGCTGAGAATTTGCATTTCTAACAAGTTCCCCAGACAGTGCTAATGCTGCTGGTTAGTGACCAATTCTGAGAACCACTAGGGAAGCAGTTGTTCTCAGAATTTATTTTACATAAGCATCACCTGAGGATCTTGTTAAAATGTAAATTCTGATTCAGTATATCTGAGGTGGAAATGCAAATTCTTAGCAGGGGTTCCAACCAGTTCTGAACCTGTTTCTGTTTCTCTAACATGAACCTTCACTTCCCCTGACAATAAAACAAGTAGCTATTATCAAAATTGTGGCGTTCATTAAACCCAGGAGGCTAATAGCCTATTACTCAGTATTTTCTGTGTAGTTTCTTATTACACGGTATCTCACTCCTCCAGGCTTTTCAAATAGAGTGTTTTCCTTTATGCAGTGTTAACCTGCTTTGGGAAAGAACATGAGTCTCTGGAACTCAGCACTTGGGGTGTGGTGGGTGTAGAGCTGTGTTGGGCGGGTTGTGTTTTCCTCCAGGTAATGAGTAGTTTGCTTCGTTTGTGCCTGAGGAGCAGAAACACAAGGACCTCAGCCGCCCCTCCTCAGAGCCAGTCACTCTTCACCCCTGATGTTTAGACTTTATCTTAAGATACCCTAACTGGGCGGTATATGTGGGAAGTTTAAAAATGCTACAGTGTCTGGAGGGGTGCTTTAGCCAAATGGGCTATGTGGAGAACCTTCTGCGCAGTGAGTTTCATTTCTCTTTGCCACTTTAAGAAGTGGCAGAAAATGCATGTGTTCACATGTTCTCTCTAGCGGAGCCAAACACTTGATGCTTCGGAGGAAGAAGGAAATAGTTAAACTATACCTTGTCCATTGCTCTGAGACTGTAATGCAGGGAATTTCTACAGGGAAGGTACTCTTTGTGATTCTTACAAGTAGACTCTGATAAAGATCATCACATTTTAGACTTGGGGCAAATGCTTCAGCTGTTTAGCTGCTATTGGGAGCTAACAGAGAAGTACAGAGCAATTGATAAAAAACATTCAATTTTGCTTTAATTATTTTAAAACGAACAATTTTGAAAGATTTTGTTTCAAGTGAAAATAAAAGAAAAAGAAAGCGTCTTAGGAAATGTACACTACCATTTCTAACACTCAAAATAAAATAGCTAAATCCACCAACAGCAGACTAGCCTAGCTAGGGTCTGTGAATTGTAGTCTGGTATTTGTGTCCTACACACAGCAAGGTTCCGGAGTAAAGCCATTGATTATGCATTCGTAGGATATTCTCTTTCAATGTACCGATTACCTGTTATACGTGCGACACCATCTTTTCTCCCAAGTTTATTCTGCCTAAGGAGATGGGACATACCTAAGTTGCTAACCATGGAGAGGAAGTCCTGCGTGGTTAAGTTACCCATTTATACTCTGAGACCTGAGAAGGTAGGAACAGAGAGAGATCTGTGGGCTAGAATATTCAGAGGCGTATTGGCTGAGAAGATGTAGCTTGAACTGAATGTTGAAGTTAGATTACAGCTTACTGAGCATTTCATTACAAGGTTTTCAGCATACTTAAAAATTCCGTGATAGTGGTTTTTAGAAATGCCATTGGATTAGAAAGAACTTATTTTTACAAGTTCAGAGGAATTACCAAAACCTGTAAAACTGGAGTCAGGTTTTCTCAAAACCATCAGGTGTTTAGCTTCAGTCTCATTTCATCTTTTGACTGGCTTTGTCTTTGCTCTCTTTTTGCAGCATCTATTCTGTTTGATTTACTATATTACCTTTAACTTGCTTATCTATTTGCATTTTCTCAACACTTGTAGAAAGTCTATCTTTTATCTTTCTTTAGTATCATACCTGCCTTCCTGTACATATTTAGTGTCAAACACATACCAAACAGTTAATAAAGGAATGAATAAATGAGCAGTGTTTCAAAAAGTAAAACAGTTATGTGCTAAAATATCCTATAGGCACCTCTTCCTGCCCATCAGTAAGATTGCTGCCAGCTTCACAAGTGTGTGCATGCAGTCATCAGCAAATATTGGTGGAACACCTGCTGTGTGGCAGGTACCATGCCAGGCGCTGGAAGCACAAGAGTGCATAGTTAACAGTGGATCATAGGGAAGAAAAGCATAAGAGAAATGGTCTAGGAATAATTTATTGCAATTGTGTTAAGGGCTGTATTTAAGTTTACTCCTAAAGAGGTGTGCATGACTTAGCTAGGCAAAGTAGGAGAGTGTTCCTGGCAGAGGCGAATACCATGTGCAACGGCTAGGAGACAGAAGGAGCATGGCTGTCTTTAGGAACTGAAAGAAAGCCAGTGTGGCTGGAGGTACAGCAGAGGGCAGGGGCGGTTAGAGTTGAGACTAGAGAGGTAAGTAGGGGTTTAATAGCCCGTGTTGAGGATTTTGGACTTTATCTTGAGAGCATTGGGAGGCCATAAAAAGTTTTAAACAAAGGAATGTCATGATCATCTTTGTCATTTTGAAAACATCACTTTGGCTGCAGTATACATTGGGGCAAGGAGGCCACAGAAGAGGCTATTATAGTGATCCAAGTAATGGCGCCAGTGGGTGCACTGAGTGGTGGCAGTAGAGATGGGGAGTTGTGGCAGACTTGCGAGACAGTCGAAAGATTGACCAGACGTGCTGGTTGGTTGTGGGAGTAAGAGAGAAGAACCAAGGATAACCCCACAGGTTTTCAGCCTAAGCATCTGGGTGAGCGTTGGTGCCATCTACTAAGGTTGGGGATATTTAAGGAGGAACAGGTTTGCAGGAGAAGATGAGTCCATTTTGGAGCATCTCAAATTTGAGTTGTTTGGAGAGACATCCAAGTAGGCAGTTGGATATAAGGACCTAGAGGTCAGAAGTGCCCTGGGGGAGCGGGGGCACTGTAAGAGGCATCAGTGCAGTGGACCTCTCTGCCTCTAGCCTCCGTGGAATGGTGGAGGCTATCTTTGAGCATCGAGAATGAGAAAAGTATAGAGTCAGAACAGAATCCTGAGCACCAGCTATGCTGTTTCAACTCAATTCCTTTTTTTAAAAAATGTTTATTCACTAGGCAGACCAATTTCTTTAAACGCCTCTCTTGAGACAAGAGAAAGAAGTTAAAAGTAGAATTTTTGCCACCTCTGTTTAGAACTAAACAGAAAAGACAGGTGTTAATGATGAGTTGAGAATAGGTCTACATGTGAATGAGAACTAATGTCTTAAGTCTTGGTCAAAGTGATTATGACTGAAGCGTTCATGTATAAAATGAGCTATATTTTGCTCTAGTAGCACATAAAGCTCTTTAATGAACTTGAAAGTATTTTGCAGTCAGTAAGGAACTGTGATAGCACCAGTACTTTAAACAAATGCAGTTAACTATTTGTGTGATAATGCACTTGATGTTGCTAAGCTTGGCGTTTCATGAGAAGCGGTACTGTGTCTTTCTGGTTCCCCCTGTACCTCGAGAATATAAGTCTTCCGGATCCAGGTTCAGTCCGAGTGAGCCGGAGCATTTCTCTTTCTTCAGAAGGGCAGTGCCATGGGCGTATTTATTTAAAACAACAGGGGTGTAGGAACACACTCAACTTTTGTGAAGTGATAAACTGCAAACGTTTATTACAAACCCGAGTTTTGTTGTATTTAAACAATCTCAGACAACTAAATGTAGCTAGAGCCTTTAAACTTACAAAAAGAAATTTTTTTGTGGGGTTTACACACATAAGTGTGTTGTTTTGTGTTATGTAGTACCTAGCTTCTCTCAACCAAGAAACTTCTAAAGCTACTACTGTTTGAAGAACAGGTTTTGCTTGGGCGTTTGTAGAATAACCTGAGTACTTTTCATCATACACAAAAGCAGTATTTTCTTCCCTTTTTTAGATTATTCACTGACTAGTGCGGACCTGTCGGCCCTGCAGGGTTTCAGCTCCCCAGGAATGCTGTCTTTGGGACAGGTGTCGGCCTGGCAGCAGCACCATTTAGGACAAGCAGCCCTCAGCTCTCTTGTGTGAGTAACTAGAAAAATTTCCCCAAATCTTTACTCCCAGCCCACCGTACTCTCTTTTCGTAATAGTTAGTCTTTTGCTCTGTTGACTTTCATGTCAATAATCCTGCAGTGATTCTTTTTTAGTTGGACACAAGTGTTCAGAGAAAATATTTTCTTTTCATGGCTGTAGATACTAGCTCGGATACTGAACAAACTAGGCACTGCTTGAAGGGACTCAGGGAGCAAGGCGTTTCTCATATGGACACACCAAGGTAGAGAGACCCTGTTAGTACTCTAAGGGGGCATCAAGGCACGGATGCCACCCATATGCACTCCATCTTCTACCTACTGATCAGTGATTGACAACCCATCTACTCCCACCCCTACCTCCCAACGCCTGTCTGTGACTCCACTGTTTGAAGAAAGGCAGCTTGAAGGTATGCAGGCCCACCTACCACCCTTCCCTGTTTTTGCTTGGTGAATATCTGTGGACAAGGAGAGCAGGAAAATGAGCTGTGCCCTTTGCTTTCTCCCTGGATTGTAGGGGAGGAGAAGTGGGGAGTACCTTTTGTGTGGATCAGACTACACAGAGTTCATTTCACTGGCCCAGCCCATTGCATACACCGCACCTCACCAAGAAGGGTTCACAAAGAGAACATTCCTTTGAGCAGGGTGTAGGGGTATCAACGAGAGGATTACAGTGGTACTCGGGTGAGACCAGATACCCCTGAGCAGAAAGGAGAAGGGGTAGTGTCACGGTAGACCCATGGAGCACGTGGAGGAGAGCGTCCCAGAAGAGGGGGCAGCAGAGCAGACCCAGCAGTTTGCGTGTGGGCTGGCTCCTTTGCCCCTGCTCAGGACAGTAGGGGCGCCCTAGCTTCCTGCCCTGAAAGTGCCCAGAGAGCCCTAGCTCAGCAAACCCCTTTCCTCCCATATTCAGAAATAGCTCTAGGTGCACAGTGTTAGCAGTAGTTCTCGGGAATTGTGTCAGGGAAGTTTCTTTGCCCACACAGGTGTTTGTCCCTCAGGCCTATACTAAGCATCCTAAATGCACACACTAAAAGTAGTCCTGGAAAAAGCAGTGAAAATGGCTTGGCTTGAAGCTCAGAGCTGGGGAAAAGCCTGTACACTCCTACTGTACCACTCTGAGCAAGTCACTTAGCCTTTCTGCGACTGTTTCTTCATTTGGAAAATAAGAATGACGTGACTGCCTTCTTAGAGTTGTAAGGGTCGCTGAGACGCTGTGCCTGTCGTAGTGCGCAGAGCTGAGAAGATGCCAAGGAAGAGAAGAGCAGGAACCAGAGTCCAAGTCGCCATCTCACTCCCCTCCCTTTTTGGTCCACGCACAGCGTTAGCTACTGACACTGTTTTTCAGCTACACAGGTATCAGAGTTGTGGGCTCATAGAACCAGTAACTAAAGGGCTCAGCTGTATGGTTTTCTTCCTCCCAGGGAGAGGCAATTTCTTTTTGTGCCAAGCACTGAAGGAAACAACCAAAACCAGTCTTTGGAAATTCCGACAGGATCTCAGACATGGGACTATTTTCAGTCGGGCTGTGTCTGTAATATCATTCCAATTATACAGATGCACTCACAACCATCTAACCTCTCTCTGTCTGTCTCTTTCCCTACAGTGCTGGAGGGCAGTTATCTCAGGGTTCAAATTTATCCATTAATACCAACCAAAACATCAACATTAAGTCAGAACCAATTTCACCTCCCCGGGATCGAATGACCCCATCAGGCTTCCAGCAGCAGCAGCAGCAGCAGCAGCAGCAGCCGCCGCCACAGCCGCCCCTGCAGCCCCAGCCCCAGCCCCGGCAGGAAATGGGGCGTTCCCCTGTGGACAGCCTGAGCAGCTCTAGTAGCTCCTACGATGGCAGTGACCGGGAGGATCCGCGGGGCGACTTCCATTCTCCAGTTGTGCTGGGCCGACCCCCAAACACTGAGGACAGAGAAAGCCCTTCTGTGAAGCGGATGCGGATGGACGCGTGGGTTACTTAAGGCTTCCAGGGCTGGCGTTCGTGTTGCTGCAGTGAACTGCCCTACATATCTAAATCGCTCAATAAGGACATGAGTTAAGTATATTTATATGTACATACATACATATATATCCCTTTACATATATATGTATGTGGGTGTGAGTGTGTGTGTATGTGTGGGTGTGTATTGCAGACACAGAACCAGGCACTTACCTGCAAACTCCCTGTAGATCTGCAGATGTACGTCCCATGGCAAACAGCACCCTGTAGGTGGAGGTCTAGTCTGGCACTTCCTTGGACTACTTGTTTCGTAAGATAACCAGTTTTTGCAAAGAAATGTGTACCCATATGTAGTTGTCCCACACTAGCTTGCAGAAACCTAGAGGGCCCCTACTTGTTTTATTTAACTGTGCAGTGACTGTAGTACTTAAAAATGCTTTGTAGAACAGAGCAGTAGAAAAGCAGGAACCAAGAAAGCAATACTGTACATAAAATGTCATTTATATTAATTACCCAACCTGGCATGGGTCTCTATTGCAAAGAGGTGCATGGGAAAGGGCTGTTGATATTTAAAAAAACAAAAAAAAGTCCCACACATAACTGTTTTGCACGTGCAAAAATGTATTGGGTCAAAGAAGTGATCTTTAGCTAATAAAACGGAGAGAGAATAGAAAACACGCATGAGATATTCAGAAAATACTAGCCTAGAAATATAGAGCATTAACAAAATAAAACTAATATATTAAGTTATAATTGGAATACATCAGAAGTTTCTTTTTACATTCATATCTTAAAAATTAAACTGATTTTAGCTCATGTATATTTTATATGAAAGAAGACACCCTTATGAATTGATGATTATATATAAAATTATATTCACTACGTTTGAACACATTCTGCTATGAATTATTTATATAAGCCAAAGCTGTATGTTGTACTTTTTTTTTTCTCTTTTTTTCTTTTTTTTAAGGAAGAATAGCTTTATCTTGTTGTTTTAACTTTTTAGTTTTATTTGAGGAGGGGGAAAAGAATTAAAATATCTCGCAAGCAGAACCTTGGAAAAAAAAAGCCATGAACACTTGTTATTCTATATGTAAATTAAAAGTTGAGCCAAACTCTTTGTGTATATAGCATCTTAAATATATTATCACCTTTGATGTAAGTACCTATGTATTGTATGGTCACCAGATTAAAAAGTATATTTTTGTGGATTGCCACCAATTTGGGGGGAAAAGTCGAGGTCCTTATTAAGTAGAGTACTCACTGTTTAATATTTACTATTTTGTTAAATATACTGTACTTTGGATTTTAATTATTAGCCCAGTTTTTTCAGAGGATTGTATAAAGGGGTTTCTCCCCTCACTGGTGGTGAATGTGTGATGTTACATTGTAATCTTTGTGCTGTATGGGTTGAGCATCATTATATATTTTATATATATGTACATAAATAGCAAAGTGGCAAAAAAAATGGTGTTTAAATTCATCCTGCATAAATATAAAATGTGTTGTAACAGATTTTATAAGGCATTATTTAAAAATTTGCCTTTCGTGAGGAAAAACTATAGTAGAAAAAGCTGACCTAATTTAACTAATATTAGAGGAAATGACAAAATATTAGATGAGCACAAAGGTTTTATAAGTGGTAAATGATTAGGAAAAGCATTAATGGGGGAAGGGTTTCTTTTTTCCCTTGACCCTCTGAAAACAGAACAGTGCCGCTGGTTACAGTATGCCGGCACCGCTGATGATTCTGTGCATTGAAATGACACTTCTGGTGTGGGCGGAGAAATTCTCTCACGATGCAGATCCTTGTCATGGTTCTTGCCAACCTGACTGAAATTAGTGGAGCCGTATTGTTATAGGAAGGCAATGAATTGGTAACAGCTAGTTCCTCAGTTAACTGGGCTTGTGCCATGAACAAAAATTCAGAGTCCTGTATATCTTTTATCATAGCTTTTAAATACTCCTTTTCCTGAGAAACTCAAAATAAGAGTTTAAAAATCGCTATTTTATATTTTAAACTGAATATTGAGCAGCTACCTATAATTTTTACTTATATTTTGCTTTTCCCCCTAAATTATGTTCCTTTTGACATTTTCCTCATATGCTACTTGCTACAAACCATCAGCCATATTTCCTGACTGACACATAGGTATTAGGTACAGGGTATACCTGCAGCAGTCACAGGATACAAAATGGAGATTTTATTTTCATGGCAATTTGGGTAGTAAATTTTGATAGAAGCCAAAAAGGGGAGGGTAATATACTCTCTGTCTTCTCTTTGTTATAGACATTTGGCTCTTATTCAGAAAGGATTCATTTTCCTTTAAAATGTATGTATTTTACTGAACTACTTACAGGCACATTTTGTCATAAGGTCACGCCTAATTGAAACCAGACAGTCTCCCAACACTGAATTTCCAAGATAATCCTTACCACTTTGTAAACCATTTATAGCTTTGAAAGTGTTAAGTGATTCTTTCGTTTATGCATGTTCATGAACTTCTGCTGTACATTGGAATAGGAGTTAACACATTCACATTTACTGTCTATTTTCTTGTGTGCCTTATGAGATGGCTTTTCTGACTATATCTCAATAGTCTTTCTTTCTATGCAGGTTTATAATCAGTACAACTACTGTTTTCTAAAATAATATTACACAAGGCTCGGAGTTTGTATTTAAATTACACTGACCAAGTAACCATTTATTCCGTTTTCAGGAACTGATTATTTGACTGTTAACCTTTTCCCCATATGCCCAATGTGATTTGGAGCATGTGGACTTGACAGAGACATCCTTCACCAAACACCCATGTACGAACACATACACGTCTCTTGGTGGAAACCAATTTAGAGTGGCGAACACACTAATGGTGTTACTTTAGAACCTACTTTTCTTACCCTTTTAGATTCATATGTTTTGTATAAGACACCATTACAAGAAAATTTTATCCCTTCAGATGAAATATTTTATTACTAAAAAACAAAAACAAAAAAAGTTTAGAATAAATTGCACTGGTTCAAGTACAGTTTCCAGCAGCTGTACTTCTTCAGCACTCTAACTGGTGTTAACATTCAAAGTGAGAGCATCATTGTATGTAGACAAATGGTCCCAACCAAAACTGCATCTTTTGAGCCCTAATTATGTCCATTGTGTTACATGCTAAATCAGGGGTTTGTTCAGAAAGAACAATATATGTTTTACCATTTCCTTTAACTATAAGGACAACTAATAATGCATTAACATAGTTTCTGTATTAACCATCATGCGCACAAGAAATACATAGTAAATAAGGAACCTGAAAACTCCTGGCATCGGGTCATGAGAAGCTAGATGATTAGAATGTGAAAAATATTTTACAAATGTAAAACTTTTATTTCTCTGTAGAACCTTTCTTCACTTTGCTGTGCAAGAAGACACTGCTTTGCTATATTTAAAATGGCTTTTTTAAAAGAGATTTATGTATTTGGTAAATGTTTGTAGTCAACAGTTCACACAAGAAGCTGTACACGGTTTGATCAAGTAAAACCGTTTGGCGGCACAAGCTGGACTTTGTTGCCATCCTTGAGATGAACCTTTTAAGAAAAATAAGTTAATCTCAATTTTTCCCTGAATGTGTTGTTTTTTCTTCATTATACAATAAATATTATAGTGAACTTTTTATCAAATGGTTAAGAAAATGCTAGAGGTTGTTGTAAACTATTTGTATCCTGCACTCACTACAGTAAAGACGGACTGGCTTTTACTGTGTACTCCAGACTCTGTCATGTTTGCCTGAGGAGACTTTCTCCGGGGAGAACAGAACTCCAGAAAGGGCTGTTTTTGGCACCAGTCATGTCCTTTCCCCATTCCCTTCTCCATTCCCCTCACGAAAGCTGCTTCCCACCTGCAGATCCTGTTTACTGATTTTGAGACTTGCGTAAGGAAACTTCTGGTGCCCAACCACCCCAGCATATCAATTCCCCAGGCCTCCCTTTAGGGACAGAAGTCCTGCCAGCCCTGGAACCGTTTAGGATGCAGCCAGTGATCCAGTCCCCAAACTTGGTTAGCCTGGGAGTTATGTACTCGTGGGTATGGATTGATTCAATCCATTCAGACTCTAATAGCTACTTGTCACACAAGGTACACCAAAGTGTGCTGTGGGGGGTGGGTGGGGTGGGGTAGAGTATGGTACTGTTAGAACTTACTATCATTAGATTCTGTCTCTTTTATTTTGTTGAGAATACACACAGCACAACATACACCAATTCAACAGTTTCTACGTGTACCATTTAGTGACATTGATTACATTTTTTGAATTGTGCAACCATTCTCACCCTCCTTTTCCAAGTAGTTCCTTCCATAGTAACATAAACTCACTGCCCCCTAAGGTTCCTATCTAATCTTTTGAGTTGCTGTTATTAATTTGATCCCATATAGTTCTTAAAAGAGCATAATGCTCAAGTAGACATTTTTTACTAGTTAAGCTAAACTACTGTTGGGTTTTAAGAAGACTTCAGGGGATATTTTTGATTTAAAGTTTAAAGATTATCTCAGGGCAGGAGTTTCAGGGGTCCATCCAACCTTCATGGCTCCAGGAAATCAAGTCCATTAGAATTTGAAATTCTGTTCTGCATTTTTCCCCTATTGATCAAGATTCTTCTATAGAATCTTTGATCAAAATGTTCAGTAACGGTAGCTGGGCACCATCCAGTTCTTCTGGTCTCATGGCAAAGGAGGCATTTGTACATGGAGGCAACTAGCCACACATTCCATATCCTTCTCCTGTCCGTGACTTGCCTTCTTCCTCTGTTGCTCCAGGCGGATACAGACCAATTGTTGTGCCATTGATGGCTGCTTGCAAGCTTTTAAGACCCCAGGCACTACGCAGTGAATTAGGAGGAAGAACAGAAGCAGTAAACATGTCTTTAGGCCAGTTAACTGGGATATCCCATGAAACCATGACCCTAAGCCTCCAAACCAAGAGAACAAGTCCCATGAGGTGTTTGGTTGTACATAAGCAGCTTCAGCAGCTTTTTTTTTTTTTTTTTTGGTCATAAATATGTTTATCACACAACTTTTGCCCATTCGGGATTTTAAAGATGTACAACTTATTGACAGCGATTACAATAATCAGCTCTGCAACCGTACCCTTAATCAATGAAATATTTCCATCACTGTTAACCCCCCCCCCCACTTCCATCCCTGGTAACCACTAATAAACTTTGTTCTCTACACATTTGCCTTGTCTTTTTATATAAGTGAGGTCATACAATATTTGTCGTTTTGTGATTGACTTATTTCACCCGGCATTATGTCTTCCAGCTCCATCTATGTTGTAGCATGTATCAGTACTTCATTTCTCCTACTGGCTGAGTGTATTCCGTTGTGTGTATGTACCACATTTTGTTTATCCATCTGTTGATAGGCGTTTAGGTTGTTTCCACCTTTTGGCTATTATGAATAGTGCTGCAATGAACATTGGTGTAAAAGTCCGTTTGAGTTGTTCAAGTCTTTTTGGTATATATCTGGGAATGGAAGGGCTGGATCATATGGTAGTTCTTTTTGTTTTTTTGAGGAACCAGCATGTTATTTTCTTCAACAGCTGTACCATTTTGCGTTCCCACCAGCAATGGGTAAGGGTTCCAATTTCCCCACATCCTTGCCAACATTTATTATTTTCAGGTGGTTTTTTTTTTATCTTAGCCCTGGTGGTGCAATGGTTAAGTGTTTGGCTACTAACCAGAAATTCGGCAGTTTGAATCCACTAGCTGCTCCTTGGAAACCCTATGGGGCAGTCCTGTTCTGTCATATAGAGTAGCTGTGAGTTGGAATCAACTCCATGGCAATGGGTTTTTTGTTGTTGTTGTTTTAAAATCCTAGTGGGAGTGAAATCATATTGTGGTTTTGATTTGTATCTCTCTGATGGCCAGTGATGCTGAGTATCTTTTCATGTGTTTGGTGGCCACTTGAATGTCCACTTGGTGAAATGTCTAAGTCCTCCCATTTTATGATTGAGTTGTCTTTTTATTGTTAAGTTGTTAAAGTTTTATATGTTTTTTTGTTATTAAATTCTTGTTGGATGTATGGTTTCCGAAGATATTCTTCCAGTCAGTAGCTTGTCTTTTCACTTTTTTGGTAGACTATTGATGAACCAAAGTTTTTAATTTTTGTGAAGTCCCGTTTATTTGTTTTTTGCTGTTTCTTTTGTTATTATGTTAGATAACCCGTTGTTAAAAGCTAGGCCTGATAACGTTGCCCCTGCTTTTTCTTCTAAAATTTTATGGTTTTAGTTTGCACATTTGGGTCATTAATCCATTTTGGATTTGTTTTTGTAGATTCTATTTATCTTTGAAGGTTAGACGGTGAAATGACTTGTTTTTGCCCAGTCAAAATGCGTATAATGCATACGTAGTAAACAAGAGGCAGTAGAAGACAGGTTGACTAAGGTGAATTGAGTTTTATTTTCAAAAGTGATAGGTGTGTGTTCCAGTATGCTGGTAGGTGCTTTTTAGTGGTTGTCCCTCTTGGTTATAATTCAGCTAGAAAATGGAAAATGTTCTCAGCCTCTGATTTTGCCTTCCAAGCCAGCTCCTAGCAGCAGATTCTTGGTGTCAAATAAAATTAAAGGCTGAACCTTTTGTGCTGGTTTTACTTGCTGGCTGCATGGGAGCTCTTATTAACAGGTTTTGAAAGCTGGGTGAGGCCTGTGGCTAAAAATATTCTAATCACAGCTGCAGCTACTTAAAATCAATTCACTGCGATTTCCTAGTTAGCGCTCACAGTGACTTGCTAGGTTTTATCATGTTTTTTAGCTGATTCTGTGTATGACTGGCACCAGCCAAGAAAAGGATTTTCCTGCTGGAGCCGTATGCCAGTTGGATGGCTCCAGACCAGTCTGCTCCCACTGACAAGGGGTCAGAGTACCACTGAGCTGTAAAACAGAGGAAAAGTAGAGCATCGTTTCTTCCTGTCTTCCACAAGAGTTATGGGTTTCATATAGGAACTTGAACCACCGTGGAGAGAGGGGCGCCCCAGGGGCTGAGTGGACTTGTGTCATTCATCCATCAGAGCGTTGCTGAGCCCCTGCCTGTAGTCAGCCCAGGGGAATATTTATTAACAGGGGCGCCTTGCTCTCCAGCTGCCACCATGTTTGAACTGACACATGCTCTTCCCAGGCAGCCCCAGCCAGTGACTGCGCACAAGGGGGTACAAGGGACTGGCCAATTCAGGGCGTAATTACTACAGATTAGTAAGTAAACACAAGCCCATGCGTACCTTGCTTATTGGGTAATCCGTCCCTGCTAGCCATTCATCCATCACAGGCAGTACCCCCATACGCACACACAATCTTTTGCACTCTTTTCCCATCTCGGTGTCTACCTCCCAGAGGACCTGAACCCACACAGCCCCTTTCCCAGAGAGTCGTGGTCCTACCACACTCCAGTAACAAACACACCCAGCTCCTCTGTGGCACTTTTCTAGCAAAACCCAACCATGCTTAAATACAGTATCTGCCTACTCAGTGTCTACATCCAAGCAAATGAATACAGGCTGGAGCTAAAAAAACAGTTACATTATTTTTTTAAATTTTTTTCAAACTTTATTTAGAACTAATTTTAGACTTACAGAAAAGTTGCAAAAAATACAAAATTTCTATATATTCTTCAGCTTAATGTTAACATCTTACATAACCATATACAAGTATCAGTACCAAAAACTTAGCATTAGTACAGTACTTTTAAAGACATTTGAATTTCACCATTTTTCCCACTAATGTCTTTTTGTTCTGGGATCCATCAGACCCCACATTGCATTTGTTATTTCTCTGCAGTGATTCCTCAGTCTTCTCTTGATTTTCATTATCTTTGACATTTTGGAAGAATACTGATTATTTTGTCTAATATCTGCCAATGTGGATTTGTCTGCTTTCTCATGATTGGAAAGAGGTTGTGTATTTTTATGAAGAGTACCATAGAAAGTGGTAACTTTGGTGAAGGGTAAGACAGTACACAATATGGGGGAGCCAGCACAGCTTGTTCAGGGTAAGGTCATGGAAGCTCCATGGACAAATCCAAACTCCCTTAGGGACCAAACTACTGGGCTGAGGGGAATGGGGACCATGGTCTCGGGGATCGTCTAGCTCAATTGGCATAACATAGTTTATAAAGAAAATGTTCTACAGTCTATGGTGAGTAGCATCTGTGGTCTTAAAAGCCTATGAGTGGCCATCTAAGACTGGTCTCACCCCTTCAGGAGCAAGGGAAAATGAAGAAAACTAAAGACACAAGGGAAAGATTAGTCCAAAGGACTAATGGCCCGCAACTACCATAGCCTCCACCAGACTGAGTCCAGTACAACTAGATGGTTCCCGGCTACCACCACTGACTGCTCTGACAAGGATCACAATAGAGGGCCCTGGACAGAGCTAGAGAAAAATGTAGAACAAAATTAGAACTCAAAAAAAGACCAGATTTACTGGCCTGACAGAGACTGGAGAAACCCTGAGATTATGGCTCCCAGACACCCTTTTAGCTCAGTAATGAAGTCACTCTGGAGGTTCACCTTTTAGCCAAAGACTAGACAGACCCATAGGACAAAACGAGACTAAAGGGGCACACCAGCCCAGGGGCAAGGACTAGAAGGCAGGAGGGAACAGGAAAGCTGGTAATAGGGAAACCAGGCTCACGAAGGGAGAGTACTGACATGTCATGGGTTTGTTAACCAGTGTCCTAAAACAATATATATACTGTTTAATAAGAAGCTGGTTT